TCTTTCTTTTTTTCTGAAGAAGACCGGTGTTGAGGAGAGAGATAGGTTGGGGGGAAAAAATTTGGGGCAAAAGTCGTGTCAAACAATTATTTGCCAAACTTTATTCTTCCAATTTATGAAGTTTGTTTTTCCGAGATTTAGCAAACCAATCGATCTCTGTTTCTTCATTTCACCAAAACATACTTTTCTAAGTGTGTATTAGACTGTGTTCATTTTGGGTGAAGCGTTTGCTAAAACGTACTTTGAAAAAAAGCTACCGTAATCCCGGAGCTCTAAAATTTAAGCCATCTCTTGGTACCCTGAACCTACCTGCCGTACTTCAAACCTATTAAGCCTATAAGTCCAGAGTCAAGCTAGAAGTCAGATCCAGGTAATGTTCTTATTAAGAACAACAAGGTTACGATAGTTTCTAGAAAACAATTTGGCCCGAGGAATACGTTCTGGTACATGTATTTCATTTCCAATCATTTCCATATTGCCTCTTATCCCACTGTCATTTTCCGCATCAAATTCTTTCTTCCACAAAATCTTTTAGAATTCTTGAGGATTATTTCGTCTTTCAAAAATTCTCAGCATTTTCCCCCCAGTTTAACCCTAAATTCCATTCATAAACATATCCAAGTGTAATTTTTTTCAAAAATCTATGTAAAATCTCTTCTGGAAAACACCCAATCTAGTCTTTTTTGTGCCATTTTTTCATGTGAATTTCTTTGAGCTCACTGCCCATAAAAGAAGGATAAATTTTTGCATCCAAATCTTCAATGCTGATTTAAAAATTGCCGTATAACAACGCTTTATTCTGAAAAACACCTACTCATCACTATTTAGAAAGAGAGAAAAAAGAACTACACGCCTAACACAATAGCAAAAGAGAGGAGAAAACGGGGGAAACAATAATTGAGCAACGCCAATTCAAAACAAATGGAAACAAAAACCGGACACAAAGTGAGATACACAAACAAAAAGGAGCTAAAGAAAAAGAATGGAGGAAACTAAAATGATCAAATTTTACAAAGATAAGAACGTTGGAGATAATTTGATGACATAAACTTTTCAAAAATCCTTGTGGGGAAAGGATAACAATAAATACTAATGAATAGAGAATGAACGGAAATACAAAATGAGTGTTTTGTTTGTGATTGCACCAAGGAGTGATTCGTTTGACATGCACACATCAAAGCATTCCGCATTCTTTCTATCATCCCCCTCACTCCAATTCGTCGTCAATGAGCTCGCGGATCTTTAAAAAGGGAAAAGTTAGGTAATGTTAATGGAGAACAATAATAAAACCCTTAAGAATGACTTTAGCTTAGTAATTTCAATTTGGCTACTAATAAAGTTCGGGGGGGGGGGGCACTTTGATCTGATTTGGTCAGCTCGTACTTTTTGACCGTTTTACCAATGGTTTCATTTTTTCTGCGGTAATAAAACATGCTGATAACATGATAAAACCTATTGGTGATATTTTTAGAAAGTTTTGAACAATCTTTACGAATGTTTTATTGCGCTAGCTGAAGTATAACTGTTGCAGTGCCGCAACTCTATAAAAGAGGCCAGGGGTGAAATACAAAGTGAAAACTTATTCAAAATACTTTAAAAATATCACCAATAGATTAAGCGTATTTGATTACCCCAGAAAATGCAAGACCAGACTAGAAAAAACACGCTTAAAATAGGTTGCGGCCCGGGTCAAGTCAAAGTGGTACTTAAATTTGAGCTTGCATCTCAATCAACAGGTACATTAAGATTAACCTAGATAATGCCAAAAAGTAGGTGAAATTGTAATTGTAAAGTAAAGTATTAAGTCAACAAAAATTTACCTGCACAGGTGCATCAGTATCGTCGTTGCCTCCCATGAATTGCATGATCGGTGCCCCGTCTCCTCCCGCACCTGCAGCTTCAACGAAATCGGCGGCACTGTCGTACGCTTGCGAAAGACGCTGTTAAAAACAAAAGATTAATATGGGGAACAGTGGCACACGTTAAATAAGGATATTAAATTTTGGTGCAATTACAAAAACGAGTTCAGATAATTTAATCAAGATCAACAGCATCAGTATGTTGCTCGTTATTCGTTTCGAGTGTTTCCTCATTTATGCCAAAATGATCGGCCAAACGCTAGAATTTCAAAGTAGTTTCTTCTACTTTGATAGTATTTTTAAACCGAATCTCTCCAGAACCAACCTCACGAGCCGTGGGCAGCACAGCCAAGACGGCGTTGAATTGCTCTGGTGGGAGTGTCTGTTGGAAGATCGAAAGCAATTGTTGCGATTGTCCACACAAAACGATCGCGTTGGCTATATGCAAAGCACCCTCCTCGGTGTTACCTGAAAAAGGAAAATTTAATCGGTCAAGATGGCATTTCATTTACATGCCCTTAAATGATAAATTTATTTTATTTATGACTTAACAAGGATTATGTAAAGATTACATCTCAACGATAGCATTGCTGGGTTGTGCTTAATGTTTGTCTTGTAATTCTGAGGCGTATTGCAGCTAGGTGAAAAGTTTATACCGAATGGAGAATATTATCGTGCTAAAATAGATGGAGAGGTATTCGATCAAGGATATGAAGTGATTTCAGTGAGATCTGGTTAAAACCATGTGGGGCCACGTAATTGTGAGTGAGATCAGGATGGTTTTGTAATTTAATGATTACAACGGGCTAAAAATGAGCAGAATCCATTTGATTGGCAACGCATAAGTGAAATTTGATAAAACTGGTCAAGTTTAATATGTGAAGTCCGTTGTTTAATGTCTAATAAATAAGACTTTCTCATAGCAAGCTTGCACCAGTAGAGAAACAAATTGCACATATGTGCCACCAACTCAACGCAATTGCTGAGTCGCCTGGTCATCGAATTAACCAAAAACCGACCGGCTGACATCAATTCCTCGCCGAGTTGCACTTCTTGCAGGAAATACGATTGCATCTGCGTTGGGTTGCGTGGATCGGGCAGATCCGACTCCGAGTCGAGGCCAGCGTCTCCACCACCACCAACACGCGCTCCCGGGCCGCGAGCCTTGGCACGTCGCTCTAAATAAAGCATTTTTTGAGCCACATACAATAATGTTTTCTGATCCTAATCACCCCCTTTATCCTTAAAAGAATCATGCAATCACTCCAAAACTCACTTTCACGAATTCGCTGCTTGTACTCGGGATCCGAACGGCGCTTGTGGTCAAAGTAGATGGCATAGCCGACGAAAGCCGCACCTGGAATAGGGAAATTGGTGGTAATTCGATAGAGCGCATTTGAAACTGATATAACTTTACAAAAAATACCAAAACCAATACGCTAGCTTCTTTATAAACTATGGCAAGTAAAAGTTAACGAAAAGCTCACCAGCAATTCCGGCGATGGTCAGCAGGCTCGATTTGTTCAAACCAAGAAGCGTCGACGTCGACTGTGCCATCAGCTCTAAATAAAGAAAATTGATAAAATGCAAGAAAAAACATGAGAAAAGCGAATGTTGAAAGAAAAATCACGTTAAACGGGCAGTATGCACAAAATTTTAGCCAAAGACTGGTTAAAGTCATCAGAATTTTGTACGTTTTATCAATTTTCAATTGAAATGTCAAAAGTTTGCTTAAAAAGGCAAAGAAAGGTCATAAAATTTCGATTCCATAAGTTTCATCAAGGTCGGAAAGAAAACGCACGATTAAAAAATTGCGTTTCAAAAGTGAACATTGGTAGGAGTACGGTAGGTGGAGCGTGGAAAGTGATGCCAAAAGGATAACACTGCTTGAATTTCCTTGATGTCATTGGATTAGACTAATTTAGTATAAATTAGAATTATAAAGGAACTAAATAGGAACTATAAAGGAACCATAAAGGAGCTATAAAAGAACTATAGAGGAACTATAAAGGAACCATAAAGGAGCTATAAAAGAACTCTAAAGGAGCTATAAAAGAACTCTAAAGGAACTATAGAGGAACTATAAAGGAACTAAATAGGAACTATAAAGGAATTAATTTAGTAATTGAAAAATGAAAACTTTTAAGATCCTTATTCAATGAAAAAGTAATGACAAAGTTTTAAAAAAATAAAAATGAAATCGAATTCAAAAAAAATCCCAATCACTCCTGTTGACACGATACAATTCGACAAAACGAAAGTTAGTGCAAAATCGAAAAGCGTTTACTGGAAATGTTTTGCCAACAAAATTATCTACAAATCTGACATCAGATTCAAGAATTTACAATTTCATTTAGTTTTATCAAACCAAACTCGATTTGAAAAGCCATTTCATTTATCACTGTACCCAATTGTAACATTCAATTGTAACATTCAATTGTAACATTCAATTGTAACATTCAATTGTAACATTCAATTGTAACATTCAAGCCCAATTGTAAACATTCAATGCACCAGAAAGTTTTTTGTTTACGTACAAGAAAACAAAATCCCTTTTTATTCAAATCTCTTTTTCATTTTCAATTGAGAACCTTCAAACCCGTTGACTCATTCCTCAATTTCGTTGTGGATCTCGATTTGAAAAGCCCTTTCACCTCAACACTTCTACTTTATCCAAGAAAGAAAAAAAAAGTGTCAAAATTTACTCACCCCAAATTTTCAAAAAGAAACTGTATCTTTTCGAAGTTAAAAAGAAGAGAATTTCAGTAAACAGATGGCTTGACTCATTGGACTATTTCTTAAACGGTGATTCTCTATTTTGCCAAGATCGCCTAGCAAAAGCAATGAGGAAAAAGAGTTGACACATTTATAAGCTCTCGAAGTTGTCAAAAGCGAAAGGGATTCATTTATTTGCTTTTTCGAGTTTCTTCTTGCTTTCTTTGGGGGGAGATTTCTGTTGGCTTTTTGAAGGGAATTCGAGTAAAGCGAGCAGATCATTGAGGTTTCATTTGAGAGTTTTTCATTTGAGAAGCGTTCTAAAGTTTCCGAAATATTGAGAAATCTTATCTTTTATACTCGATTTATTATTTTCCGGTTTTATATCTATTGTTGAACTTAATGTTTTCGAATTTTAGTAAAAATATGAAGATTCTAATCCTGTTAGCGACAATATCCACGTGTTTTGCCCAAAGCTGTGAGTTTCTTCAAAGAATCATCGAATTAATGAGTCGAAACCAAAAAATAAACCAAAATTCAGCTCAAGTGGGTCAGAATAGTCAAGGGCAATTTGTCGGCTATTCACAAACGAAAACGGCGACATTCACAAATGGACAACCATCCTCATCATCGAACACTTATCAATACAATGCGGCTGCAAGTGAGTGCCAAAGCTGAAGCCAAAGCTGAAGCTGAAGCCAAAGCTGAAGCTGAAGCCAAAGCTGAAGCTGAAGCCAAAGCTGAAGCTGAAGCCAAAGCTGAAGCTGAAGCCAAAGCTGAAGCCAAAGCCAAAGCTGAAGCTGAAGCCAAAGCCAAAGCTGAAGCTGAAGCCAAAGCTGAAGCTGAAGCCAAAGCTGAAGCCAAAGCCAAAGCTGAAGCTGAAGCCAAAGCCAAAGCTGAAGCTGAAGCCAAAGCAATACTGTTACTGTTACTGTTTTTTCTTATAAAACCTCAGCTATGTATTATGGATCTAGCTTTGTATCTTAGGGATCACGGTAACGAACCAACTAATAGTACTTACGGTAGAATATTAGTGTATGCTAAAATAAAAAGTCTATCAATCCTTTTTCAGATCCATCAATGCTAGGCGGTCAACAACAGGACTCTACACAGTCTTCACAGTACTCTCAACAACAAAACGCACAAACGAACACAAATAATCAATACGGTCAACAGCCACAGTACGATCCATACAATAATGGACAAAACGGCATCGGCACTGGGGCTCAATACGATCCGAATAATCAATTCGGTCAAACTACGACGTCACCATATAACCCGTATGGGAACAATCAGTACGGAGCGACGACACAGGTGCAGTTAGTGTTTGAAGTTTGAGTTTGAAGAGTTTGAAGAGTTTGAAGAGTTTGAAGGAGTTAGGTTTGAGGGTTTGAAGAGTTTGAAGAGTTTGAAGTTAGTGTAAAGTTAGGTTAAATATTGTAATGAACTAGAATCACTGTAAACATCAAAAATCTTACAATTAGGGCTACAATCAAGGGATTTCTCAACAAGGACAACAACAGCAATACGATCAATCAAACACTAATCAACAATATGGACAAACGACAACGATGGGGTTAGCAAGAGTTGACTTTTGATGACTTCATTTTTGATTAAAATTTGAGATATTTACGATAGGTTACAGTAGATTACAGTCGATTTAAAAAGCGTTAATGCTTACGGCTTTCAATTTTTCAGTTACGGTAACCAGAACTCGAATCAATACGGCAATCAAATGGACACCACCACAAATCAGTACGGCCAACAACAGTACAATGCTGGGCAATACGATCAAAGCAATCAATACGCGCAAACCGATTCTTTCGGCAATCCGATCACCACCACGACCAGCTATGGATCAATGAATGGAGCCGGGATTTATCAAGTGAGAAAAAGGAATTTGTAAGATTTACAGTAACTTATTTAGGACCCTAACAGTCAATATAATCAGGCAAACAGTCAATATAATCAGTATGGACAACAAGGGGCACAGGTGAAGGCTTTTGCTAACAATGAGAATTACCCTACTCTATGACTAGCCTAAATTGATGTTTAGAACAATCAAAACGGTCAACAACAACAACAACAACAACAAAATGGTCAGTATGGGCAACAGCAGACGAATCAGTACGGACAACAGGTAAGACTTGGTGTCACTGCGTCTTTGAAAACGACTCTAATTTCAATCACGTTTTCACAAGGGAAGGTCAAATGGATAGGCTGGTCAAATGACAGCCATATACTATTCGACGCAGAATTTCACGCTCATTCCGAATCTGCTTTCCGTTTTTGCTATAGAGCAATCTGTCAAAAGTTATAAGCGCTTAAAGTTTTGTATGGAATTTCAAAAATCATCCCTCGAATTTACGAGCAGAATTTCCCTGGGATTTGAAAAGCAGTGGTGGCCGAGTGGTAGGCGGCTAGAATGCATGGCAAACCCTGTCGGGTTCCGCTGTCTAACTTTATCTTGCTTTTTTAGAGGTAATTGATCTCTATTTCAAATACAACTCTTTTTCAAACTACTTCTCATAAAAATGTTTATTAACTATTAACATTAAAGGAGTAATCACTAAAAACTAAAACATCAAATCTTCGCGAAACTGAGAGGGTCCGCTTTGTAGTCTAGCCGACTACCACTCGCCCACTACTGCTTTTCGGAGAGTTTAGGAAAGCTACCTGTAAACTTGGGGATGATTTTCGAGGGCCAATTTCTGCGCCAAACTTTAAGCGCGTATAACTTTTGACAGAGTGCTGTGTTGCAAAAACGGAAAACAGAGTCGGAATCAGCGTGAAATTCTTCGTCGAATAGGATATGTCATTTGGCCACCACACCCGGTTGACCTTTCCCTTGTCAGTTTAAAATGCTCAAGCCTTGAAGGGAAATTGAATAGGCAAAAGAAAAAAGAAACAAAACGACCAAGCAATTAGGCGAATCAATACGGACAGCAACAACAGCAAACAGCGACGAATCAGTACGGTCAGTACGGACAGCAACAACAGCAAACAACGACGAATCCATACGGTCAGTATGGACAACAGACGCAGGTTTGTTAAAAGTTTAAATCAATACAACAATCAGCAACAGCAGCAGAACCAATTCGGCACTCAACCTCAATATGACGCGTCGAACGGTGGAATGATCGGCGGGAATGCAAACGGGCAGAACACTTTCCAGTAGGAGTTTTCAAAAAACTACAGTATGCCAATTGATTTCCTTTAGACAAAGCTCGGTGAATAGCGGCTCGGCGTCTGCGTCAATCCAACAATACAACTTCAACAATGGTCGATGTCAGTACGCGGTTTGTCTAAAAGATGTTCAATTGCTTGAAATCAAAATTTTCAATATTCTAGAACGGTCAAGTAATCGAGGACGGGCAAGCACGATCGTTGACCTCGAGTGAGCAACAACAGCTCACCCAATTCCAGCAACAATTGGACGGCTACTCGAAACAGATGAGCACACAGGTATTAGACTCGAAATGTTTTTGCAAACATCACGATTTTCAGATGGGTTCCTGGCTGCAAACGCTGCTCGTCTGGGACCCGACGAACGGCGCTTTTCCACAGTTGAATCAGGTAACTCGATCGTCTAAAACTTCAGCTATAAAGCTTTAAAACTTAAAACTAGATCGAATTAGTCCCCAAAAAATGTGGCGCAGGCGATATAATGTCAGATTCATTTCTCTGATCGAAATGGCTTGACTCCATGAAATTTTCAGTTCCCAACCGTTCCGCAACCGCCATGTTTCTGCTCGACGAGCGCTTGCGGGAACGCAACAAGGTGAATTTTCGTGGTTTTCATATTCGTAATGTTCAAGTTTTAAGACCGCAAACAAACTTGGTAACCTCAAAATTTAGCTCCCAAAATCAGCAATACCCGATGAGCAATGGCGTCCAATACGATCCGAGCCAACAACAACAGTAAGTGAGAAGGGAAATGTCTGAAAAAAAGCAAAGTTTGACACGAAATTCTAGGAACAATCAATACAACAATGGTCAGCAATCTCAAAACGGGCAACAACAGTCCCAACAAGGATCAACAACTCAGTAAATTGCGGAGCTAGAGATTTCACTTTACAATTTCCAGAAATCAATATGGATACCAACAACAAGGAGCCCAAAACAACCAGTAGGTTTCGCATTGAAAAGCGTGACATAACTCGGTATTTTCCAGAAACCAATACGGCAGCCAACAACAGTACCAATCCAATCAATACCAAACACAACAACAAGGAAAACGAAAGGTTCTGAAATTTTTTCTATAAAATTAACGTTGTATTTTAGCGATCGCTCCTCAGCGACTTGATGAAACTATAAATGCAAGCCTCAAAATTTTAAAGTCGATAAATTTATCACTTTCTAAGTCTGCGACAGTGTCCCCCAGTTGCTTCTTTTGTGTCTAACTTCTGAAAAGTTTAAACAAAATTGAACAGTTTACTGATATTTTAAAATACACCTAGTACATATAAATACTCCACCAAGAGAAACAAAATTAACAAACGTTAATAACACACAGAGTTGAGATCAAAGGTTCTCATTGAGGAGGATGGCACCGTTTCCTACATCGATTTCGAGCTTCTCCAAGACCATCTTCGTTAGTAAAGTATTTTGCTCGGAAAGCAACGCGTTCTAAAAATGATTTATTTTTAACCTGCCACTAGCAAGCTACAAATTAATCAAAAAAAGTTACAACTAAAAACCTTGTATTGTTCGATGGACTGCACGCGCGTGTAGAACTCACACAATTCGGCAAGCTAAATTTTAATCGATAAGTAGCTATAAAATAAAACAAACTTGCTTCTTCGTGTTACGCTCGTCTACAAGCTCGGCTTCTAAACGCATCACTCTGTCAAAAAGTGATTCCTGAACCAGAATTAGGACTTATATTTTACTTTAATAATTACTGATGATGTTCCACTTGCTGCTGCATGGTTTTCAGGTCCGGCTCCTTGCTGCTGAATCCCTTTCAGGACCAGCTCCAAGGGCGTTGGCGACGCATCCTAAATCAAGACTAAATAAAAAAAAAACCGATAGTGAGCATTACCTTTAAGCCATTGCCAGTCGATGAGAATTCATGACTTGCTTTTGGAAACAGTTCTAAAAAAATATTATTCTTTAAATTTTCACAAGATCTCTACCGATTCCTCCAAAAAGTAACTGTGACTGAGCCGACTCGCCATCCGCCAATTCTGGAGCAGCCGTTCTTTCACTGACATCACTCTAAAATGTTCAACTGTCAAGACTAGTAATTAAAACTACTAACCGTAGCAGTCTCAAGAAATTTTTTTTAGCGCGCGGCTTTCTTTCCTTCATACCAGCAGCCTTCTTTTTCTTGAGATAGGCCTCAATGCGAGAGAAGTCGTCGGGAAAACAACGTCCAGCAATGGCCAAGAGGTCGTTCAGTAAAGGCTCCTCAACTCTGGAATGAAAATTTAAATAAGCATAAAAATTTTTTTGTCATCGCACACTAATCCGAATCAATAAACACTGTAATTACATCTTGTCGATAACCCGTGCGTTCGTACCGACATGATGATGCTGTACATGACTTGCCACCTTATCCCGTTTGTGCGATCCAAGAAAGCATTCCGAACATGCAAAACCATCGGTGCTAAAAAATTTGATGTCAAAATATGAAAAAATCTAACAATAAGTGCTCCTTGCAAAGATGACCAATCAGGAAAAGGGTTCGATGTTTGTCAAGACACTCAATTTTCTGCTCGCAAATCTAAATAAAATGTGCACGCTCTAAAAATAAACTTTACATTGCACTTTTCATCGGCTTTCTTCGCTGGTGGCCCGCTATGGCAAGAATCGGGAACGACGGGAATCTAAAAAAGGGCTTTTAACTTTAGAAGCATTACAACTCAACGAAATAGGTAATAGTTTGCAAACAATTTCTCCAAATCGCTAACCTTGCAAGTATCAAATATAATCGAATCTATCGCAAATTAAGTATCGGAGCCACTTACCTGGACTTTCACATCCCCTTCCTTCATCGGCGAAATATAAATGGCTGCCTCGTCGTCCATCTGACAAAAAGGATAAGCATTACTAAATACCTATGCGCAGACTATAATAAAATAACAATCTTCGGTCGTGAACCTCGTGGAGCAAGCTTCGAAAAGCAAAGAACTGTTTATAAGAAACCAAAAGTATGAACAATGAAATTAAATTAACAAATAAAAATAACCAGAAATTATTAAAAACTTTTGAATTATCCAAGAAAAAAAACGAGAACTAGGCAAAAATTGCAACAATTTTGCACAATCCTTCAGTCGCTGTCACTTCGTGAATATGATCGCTCACGGCCACGGCGCTCACGACTTGGGACGGCCCCAGCCTCAGTCTTCCTCTTTATCGATAATTTCTCTGCCGGTATCTTGTTCACTATGACCGATGGTCCATCATCTTTGTCAGAGCTGCTGCCAGACCACGATCGCCTACTGCACTGACGAGGTGCACCTAATTTTTTTTGTTAGGTTGAGATATGACAAAAAACAACAAACCATCTAGAGCTGGTGTCAGGCGGTCATCAGTCTTCCCGTTCTCGGAATCAACTTCACCGTCTTCTTTTTCACTATCTGATCGAGAATATGAACGTGCGCGGCGTTTGGTATTACTGATAGTACTTGAGTCTACAAAACGAGTTTTATTGGGTGTCACTTTCCAAAAAAATTTATTATATAAACGACTGGTTAAACTTACCTGCGTAAAGACGTTTGGCAGAAGTTCCATAGTTCTTATTGGCAAAATCGTTATCTCTAAAGTTAAGAGTGTAGCTTCTGGCTAAAAGCTCTCACTTACATAACAGCAGTTGAAGAGGCATCCAACCAAGTGTCATTGCCATTTCTTTGTCTATAATCTCCGTGTCCGCCGCGTCCTCCTCCACGACCACCCCGGCGAATCCATCTTCCCCGGTGACTGAAAATAAATAGTTTACCAGCGCCCCAAGTCTAAATTTTAGAAATATTGTGTTAAAACATTTAACCTGTCATCGTTTCTACCTCCGCCTCCAGCAATAGCATATCTGTTGTTTGGTGTTTCATCATGCCCTCCTGAGCGATAGTCTCCTCCTCTTCCTCTCCCGCCACGTGAAGCTCTATCCCTATCTCGAGGCTAGGAATTATATAGATAGGTAGCGTTTAAATGGTCAACCTTGAATGCGTTTTCGAATGAGTCCCCAGTGCCGCTGCCATTGCCGCTTGCTATAATAAAAGAGAATTAAAATAGACAAACAAAATAAAGTTACGTTTAAAGAGCGGAGTCCCAGGGGCATCATCAAACACTGGCGTGCGCGGAGAGTAGACCTCTCGGGAGCGTCTAGAAGCAAAGTCGGGTTGACGCCTGAATCCACCCAAGCAATTTCCAGTACCTTAAAGCAAAAGTTATTATATTTCAAATGTATAATATTAGCTACCTCCACTGTTTTCCATGAGAGCTGCTCCCAAGCTTGCTTGTGCAGCACGTCCAATTCCTTGCGAGCGTTCTGTTCCCATCTAAAATGAATTCGGTCACGAAGTATTCAGGTTTTAATGCTCACCTGATCTAGCCCACTTGGTATATATTCAAGGGTTTTCTCTTCCTGACGGCAAAGTGGACCAAGTTGCAAATATCCTTCCTAAACCGCACGATCTTCATAAACTCATAAATTCGAAATACCTTGAGGAGCTGCTCAATTAAATGCTCTGCTACCATCTTTCCATGGAGGAAGTAAGCGTGCTCCCATTGCCAATGTCTAAACATACTTTGCAATTCTCACCAATTTCAAACAAACTTTGCAGTTTTTTCCCGACCATTCCAGAACTCTTTGATTGTTTGTTGAACATCGTGAGATACCACTTCGTGACCATCCTTTGCATGTGCAACTGCATCGATCGTTCCGTAAAATTCAGCTTTACAGCCGTCCGTCTTGCAATAATGGTTGAATGGGACTCTAAATTAATAATTAAAAATTAATTAATAATAATGTGGTTGTCAACGATAAAAATAATAAAAAGATAGGCTAAGACACAGCTTCACAACTTACTTGTTGTGATGCCAAATGATGTGTTCCATAAGCAGAGGAAGACGAAAGCCGGCCTTTCCTGGGCGATTACAGTTAAAACTGCACTCAATCCGCATATTCTAAAATAAGATCGTTTTTCGATTATTACGTCAGAGCTTTACTGATAGCGGTGTTGGCTTTACGGGTTAACCTAAGCTAAATGCCAGTCGTTGGCCATTGCCAACGATGTTTGATAACGGAGTATGCACTAATACATATTCAGCCCATGGGGTGGTATTTAGAGTGTGAGGTAAACTGCAGTCTAGCCTCGGTTTGTACGAGCACTGTTTCCTCTTCTATCTTTTATCCGGGCGGAGATGCTTTCTCCTTAGTTAATCGTGATATCTGATCGACAATCGACGAACTTTTTCCCAAATTGACGTGCAATCTGACCAATCAACTTGAAAACAATAGTTTTATCAATTTACAAGAAGTGTATTTCCCTTTAATGAATGAAGAGCAACAAAAATTTCGCAACCGGCGGTTAAATAGGGAAAATGCGAATACAATATTCACTCAACAGTGCAGAAATATTTACAATTGGAAAGGCGATCTACAAACGAGTTTTTTCCCAACTCAGAAATTTTCTTACCATTATTTGGTACAAAATTAACTTCAAACGAGAGAACTTACGTGATCATAAGCAATCTGATCAAATTTTCTGGCCAAAATCTCGTTTCTCATCATGGTTAAAAGGGCTTCTAAAACTATAAATTTGTCATAGAAGCGCACTGTTGCTTCAAAGGCCCGAGACACTTTCGCGCTATTTAGCATTCTAATCAAACCTGACACTTTGAGATAAAATTTATTCTCAAATACATTCGTCAAAGTACACAAAGTAAAACACAAGAAAAAGAATGGCACAATGAAACTCTTTTACAATTCGTCATCAGAGATGAGCTTCTGCGATTCACCAGCATCTTTCTCCTTCGGATTGATGACGCGCGATTGACGGCGACGCATTTGATACCTAAAATTAGAAAATCTATCATTATGCTCGTATGTTCCTTACTTGTTAAAACTATTAAACTTAACTTGACCTTATTTAAAATTTATTGATTAAACGACAAGGTACCCAAAGTTCACACAGAACTCACTTGCGACAACATCTTTGAGCCAAGTAGAACAATCCCATTGTGACGAGAGCCGAGAGGACGCCGATGAGAATGGGCATCACGATTCGCTGATTGTACGGGTCACTCATCCAGACAGACACTTGCTCACGGATGGTGCCAATTTCCTTCTTGATCACACCTAGCTCATCTTC